TTAGTGTTTCTGTTAGTGTTATTGTTAGTGTTTCTGTTAGTGTTTCTATTCATGTTTCTATTAGTGTTTCTGTTAGAGTTTCTATTAGTGTTTCTATTAGTGTTTCTGTTAGTGTTTCTATTGGTGTTTCTCTTTTTTCTTTCTGTGTTTGTATTTGTGTTTCTGAGTGTTGTATTAGTTTTTGTATAAGTGTTTCTATTAAGGTTTGTATTAATGTTTCTGGGTGTCCTTATTAGTATTTTTGTTATTTTTCCTAGGTGTTTTCATTAGTTTTTCTCTGTGTTTTCATTACTGTTTATATTAGAGTTTCTGTGTTTTTTCTGGGTGTTTATACCAGAGTTTCTGGGTGTTTTTATGAGTGTTTCTGGGTGTTTTGATTATTGTTTCTGGGTGTTTTATTAGTGTTTCTGAATGTTTTATTAGTGTTTGTATTAGTCTTTCTGGGTGTTTTTATTAATGTTTGTCTGTATTTTTAGTAGTTTTTTATTAGTGTCTATATTAATGATTATATTAGTGTTTCTGTGTGTTTTTATTTGTGTTTGTATTGTTGTATCTGTGTGTTTTTATCAGTGTTACTGGGTGTTTATATCATTGTTACTTTTTATTGGTGTTTATATTAGTTTTTCTATCTTTTTTATTGGTGTTAGGTGTTTTCATTATTATTTATAGTAGTGTTTCTGTGTGTTTTGATTAGTATTTATATAAGTGTTTCTGGGTGTTTTTCATGGTTTTTCTTGGTGTTTTTAAGAAAAAATTATATATTTGTTTTTGTGTGTTTTTATCAGTGTTTATATTAGCGTTACTGGGTGTTTTTATTTGTGTTTCTCTGTGTTTTCATCACTGTTTAAATTAATGTTTCTGGGTGTTTTTATTGGCGTTACTGGGTATTTATATTAGTGTTTCTGGGTGTTTTTTATTAATGTTTTATTATTGTTTCTGGGTGTTTTTGTTAATTTTTCTATGTGTTTTCATTACTGTTTATATTAGTGTTTCTGTGTTTTTTAATCTTTGTATCTGGGTGTTTTTATGATTGTTTCTGGGTGTTTTTATTATAGTTTCATGTGTGTTTTTATAACTGTATCTGTGTGTTTTTATTATTGTTTCTGTTTTTTTTTTATTATTGTTTCATGTGTGCTTTTATTAATGTTTTTATTAGTGTTTCTGGGTGTTTTTATTAGTGTTTTGGGCTGTCACACAATTAGTCGACAGTCACAGATCTTTCTGATCTTTTGTAGCAGGTCTGACAGAACTTTGGACTTTCGCCCAAAGTGTCCTCAGACCTGAACAGGTGAGTCAAGAAATCCCCGTTTTCACAACAAAACTGGAATTAAACACGATTTTAAATGTCCAATGACCGCCTGCTGGTTCCGGTTCTGCTACAGGTCCCGGATCTGGTTCCGCTTCTTTAACCCTCACAGTGAGGTCATATGCTGACTCAGAACTGTGAACAGAACCGGGTTGCTCCTTTTTGTGGTCCAGCTTGGTTCGGGTTTCTCTGTGTCTCCTCCGCCTCTCTGCCGCGTCTCTGCCGCGTCTCCGCCGCGTCTCTACCGCGTCTCTGCCGCGTCTCTGCCGCGTCTCCGTCGCGTCTCTGCCGCGTCTCCGTCGCGTCTCTGCCGCGTGTCTGCCGCGTCTCTACCGCGTCTCTTCCGCGTCTCTACCGCGTCTCTGCCGCGTCTCTGCCGCATCTCCGCCGCGTCTCTGCCGCGTGTCCGCCGCGTGTCCGCCGCGTCTCTGCCGCGTCTCTGTCGCGTCTCTGCCGCGTGTCCGCCGCCTCTCTGCCGCGTCTCTGCCGCGTCTCTGCCGCGTGTCCGCCGCGTCTCTGCCGCGTGTCCGCCGCGTCTATGCCGGCTCTCTGCCGCGTCTCTGCCGCGTGTCCGCCGCTCTTCCGGCCGCGCAGCGTCCCTCAACAGGCTTCACAGTCATGTAGCTCCTTTGTGCTGCCTCTCTGGGGGTTAAAGGGCTCCGGACGGGCTTTCAGCGGCAGGAGTCGATTCCAGTCAGCATCTGAAAAGTTTCAGCTGATGTCTGAGGGCTTCTTATTAGTTCAGAATTCCACGTTGAGGAAAAAGTCAAATTTCACGTTGAACAGCAAACCTTTTTCTGACCTTTTACCTTTTGCTTTTTGTCCTGATGGCAGCAGATTTGTGTAAAATCTGATTTAGAACTAACTAGGTTTGTTCCTGTTTGGGGCTAAAAAGCAGCTGAATGCTTCCTGCTCTGATGGTTAAACTCTGACAGAAACCATCAACATCTGAGCTTTTTTTTTTACACTAAAATGATGGAAAGACCTCTTTTTTTTTTACACCAGAAGCTGAAATAATCCTAGAATTAATTTGGGAATCAGATAAATTACTAAAAGAAATACAAATAATTCTGAATATCTCCAATTTAATCTTTGAA